ACAACCTCATCCAAACTCTCTGATCAGAATAAACTCTTGATGGGATGTTGGAAGGTTTCCAAATCCATGATGGCCTCCTTGTGGACGTTCAGATCTTCTTCGATGGATCTCTAAAGGATCCTTGAGCTCTTGATGGTGTTCAAAGGTTTCCAAATCCATGATAGCATATAAAGGATCAGAAGTTCAGAATATTCAAAACTTGTCTAAAATACACAATGTCATTTTACAGTCTGATCAAATATAAAACAACCCTCCTCAAATGGTTGGCAGTTTTCTGAGATGCAGAGAACTTACAAGGGGACACAGGCTAAAATTATCAGAAGCAAGGGTATTGACTGGAACACACTTAAGTAACTAAGCAACATGAAAATATTTGTACAAAAAGTGCAATAATGAAATACAACAGAATGCACTGCACCATCACCACTGCTTAATATGGATATGTCGGAGATATTAACATGGATATATGGAGGATGATTTGCTACTGGTGGAGTAGACTTCTTTCCACATGATGTTTGATGAACTAATAAGACATTGGTCGTCTTCGTCTCTTGCATTCCCAGTTACAAGTCATTTTCTCAAATAAGCATCGCAGAGGAACACTCTTGAGAAGTACATGACCTGTATCAAAATGCTATCTTGCCTTGAAAATTCCTCAGCCCAAATATACCTCTACATCATGAATTGCCCATGGTTGAGTCGTTAATGATGTCACTCAAAACAAGTCCAGCCAGGACGATCTTGAAAGAAATTCAGGGGAATATTTTGAAGTGAAAAAGCCATGAAATAACAAAGGCAAAAATCATGCATGCAAGCAGGAAATTCATGATGCGGCGTCCATGCCAGAATCTTCGGGTTTCAGAAAGGACTACAGGTGCACTTGATACTCCCACAGTGGCTATCGTAGTATTGCTGGGTTCACTTGCCTGCCCTCCAATAACATTCACCGCTACTGCACCACAGATTTCACAAATCCTGGATCATAGACATGCAAGCAAGGATAAGTGGAGTCACATACAGAGGACACCATACAGTTTGGTTTGGAATTGCAGACGGTTCCATATTGTCATGTTGGCATATAGACGATTAAGACACTGAAAACTAAGCTAAAATCTACGAAAAGAAATGACATAACAGAAAAGGTACTTAATGTGCCTTTCCTTCCCGACCAACATGCCACTTCATAACAATCAACTACAGATTTTTCTTCCTTAAGCTATATAGATGTATACCTTAGTTACACAAGACAATATCATGCTTGTTCATTAATAAACCGGGGGAAAATGTACACCATTCTAACCCCCTAATTCTTGGAAAGTTTATGTTGTCCCACCCCCTCAAAAGAAAACAAAATAACAACCTTGGCTTTACCAATGTCTTGTTGAACAATAAGCAACACATCACAGAAAAGTCATAGAAGCAATTGTCTGTTGCCATAGCAAAAGTTTAGTGTGCAACATGTAAGGCAATGAAACATGTTGATAAACAGAAGTTTTAGGTGCCATCACAGTTGAAACATTTTATGTGAAAGGAACATCCAGACGGCCTCAATGCCTCTTTAAAGATTTTCTGTATCTTTGAAGTAAATGTATGACGATTTCTTCCATGCTTCCTTACATAATTCAATAATTGCTCCTAGTAAAAACTTCTGTTCTAGTGAATATGACTCTACAAATAGCACAAGAATAAGGACAGCAAAATATATTAACAAAAGGAAAAAGAGCAGTGTGCGAACAATGTGGCTACTGATTCAAACATGATAAAAATGCATCAAATCCCTTTGATGTGGAGAGGGAAGTAATATGCGTGTTCCAATATTCTTGCATGATGCATCAGCGGAAATGACAGAACTAATAGCTCAATTCTACTTTTCTTTTGAAGACATGCTTTTTCAGCGGGATTTGACCATGAAATTGTGAGTATGTGAAAATGTAGTTTTTGTATCCAAATTGAAAAATGATATTTGAAAATTGGTAAACTAAACCAGGCCATTTAGTGGAGAACAATACTTTTCAAGGTCACATATACCTTATATCCAGTTTTTCATGTCATTTATCAACCACGGCAAAAAGAACAGGATCTAGATTTAGATGTGCTGGTAGTGCAAAGATACTAAATTAGAAGCAGTGACGTAGTAGATAACACCAATACCAATGAATATTTAGTGTTCTGAAGAACCAAAACGTTTAGTACACAGTATCCAAGGAGAAGAAGAATTTCAGCCTGCTAGAAGGCCATAAACAATGTTTCTTGGAGGCAAAATTAATTAAGTTGGAAACTTGAGTACATCTATCAGTTAAGTACCTCAAAAAATTAAAGCAAAGATGGAATCTTGGTTGTACCAATGAAATGATAGGAGACAACAACCAAACCACTATACCACTGTACTTCTAAACTTAATAAAGTTGGAAACTTGAGTCCATCTATCAGTTAAGTACCTCAAAAAACTCAAACAAAGATGGAATCTTGGTTGTACCAATGAAATGATGGGAGTTAACCACTTAACAACCAAACCACTTCACTTCTAAACTTAATAAAGTTGGAAACTTGAGTACATCTATCAGTTAAGTACCTCAAAAAACTCAAACAAAGATGGAATCTTGGTTGTACCAATGAAATGATGGGAGTTAACCACTTAACAACCAAACCACTTCACTTCTAAACTTAATAAAGTTGGAAACTTGAGTACATCTATCAGTTAAGTACCTCAAAAAACTCAAACAAAGATGGAATCTTGGTTGTACCAATGAAATGATGGGAGTTAACCACTTAACAACCAAACCACTTCACTTCTAAACTTAATAAAGTTGGAAACTTGAGTACATCTATCAGTTAAGTACCTCAAAAAACTCAAACAATGATGGAATCTTGGTTGTACCAATGAAATGATAGGAGTTAACCACATAAAACCGAACCACTATACCACTTTACTTCTAAACTTAACCTTAAACAAACCTCAGAAGATACTAAAATGTCATATTTCATGTACAATGAACCCATAGAAATTCTGTTTAAACACCCTGAACGAAAGAACAAACTGGGGAAAGAGCTCTAAATCGGAAGAGAGGATTATCTGCAGTATTGCTAGTAGTTAATCTACTATAGAAATCATTTCACATTTCCAGCAACACTAAAGTAGACATAATTTCTCATCTTCACAAACACATTAAGAATTATACTTCATACCATCAAGTTCTATTTGACAAATAGATTCAAAGAATCATGAAAATTGGAGCTACAACAAGGGGTAGAGAGTCATAGTCTTACGTGTTTCCCTTGATTTTGAACCAAGTTTCAGCACAATGTTTATGAGCAGCTGCCAAATCACCTTTGCAAGAACAGCCCAATTCAATGGCCATTCCACCAGAGGCCTCTAGGAGTTGGTCATCATCACCAATGCCACCACATTTCAGCAAACTCAAATGACAAATCCTACAAGTTTTCTCATCTTTATGCACTTTCAACTCCAATTCACCACTCTCCAAATCAATCTCTTCATCCGGCAACGGACAAGACCCTCTTTTGTTGTGCTCACGATGGACCAAATTGCCCTCAGACCTCATGGAAAACCCACATTCTTCGTAACGGTAAGACCCACCTGCTACAGAGCCTAAAGGAGAGTGCCAAGACTGGTCTGAGTCGGAATCGGAGAACCGAAAGCTCCCATCAGTAGTGGTCTCGCTGCTCCCTGCCATGGATGGCATCCGTCGCCGTCGCCTCCGGCGTCGTTGACGGCGGCGCTGACGGGCAAGATTAGCATTGTCGCCACTGCCATTTGCCTCTATGTCAGTGTTTACAGTGTCAAAAGTTGACATTTTTGCAGAAACCAGTAGCCAAAAAACAGTATTTGAGCTCACAGATTGAAGAAAAGACGAAAATACTTAAAGGGGTTCATGAAAATTTCATGATTTGAAGCGTGAGAGAAATGGGGTCACAAAGAAAAGGACTTTTTTTGACTAATGTTGGGAGTTGGTGCTCTTTCATTTCTTTCTTTTTATCTTCTTTCTTTCTTTCTCAAATTCAATTGTTATTTTTATTTTATTTGTAGAAGTTTCAGTTCGAAGCACAGTGAAAAATTTTATCTGTAGAAGTTTCAGTTCGAAGCGGAGTGAAAAATAGAAGAAACCGGTAAGGCGGAACCGTAAGTATTCCTTCCTTCTTAATTAGAGAGATTTTGGGTATAGCCAGATTTGAGGTTTTGGATTGAGTCGGATTTAATCGGGCTTCAATGTCAAGTACCAAACACCGGATGAAAAAGAAAAACACTAGATGGAAAAAAATTTAGAAGGTGACACAAACGGGGAAGACCTACCAGCAACACGTATCAAGTAATTGTCCACCAAAGCTCGGACAGATTGACACCTAGTATTTTTTGTCCCCATAGAACATTAAACCTAGGACCTTATGATATTTTGAACTAAACCATCTTCCCTTCTATATTAAAAAAAAAAGGGAAAAAGGACAAACATACCCCCAAACTATCGTAAATGGTATGCAGATATCCTCCGTCATATTTTTGGGACATTGGTGCCCTGTCGTTCAAAAACTAGAGCATATATGTCCTTTACTCTAATGGAAGACTAAATAGGGACACGTGGCGCAATCTTATTCATCAATCCGATATTTAATAAATGTCAGGTCTATGAATAAGATTATGGCACGTGTATGTCCATTAGTATAAATGGTATATATGTTCTAGGCTTTAGACGACAAGGACACCAATGTCCCAAAAATATGATGGAGAATATATGCATACCATTTAGATAGTTCAGGTAAAAAAGACTGCTATTTTATGGGACAAACACTATTGTTGCGTTTTGCGTTTGGAGTTGGGGATGTTAAGTTAAAATTGCTTATTGAATTATAAGAAAGAACAATATGATTGTGAAAGTGAGAAGACTTGTCACGATATATTATGCATAGTACAAAAAATAGAGTTGGATATTAAAAATTTAAAAGGAATCATCAAAATGACTTGGTGACCTAGAGCAATCTCTCTTCTAATTTAAAAAAAAATGTCTATCATTAAAAACTTTAAAATATCTGAAAATGTGTCCACAGATTTCCATCAGTTCTTTCTTAAGGCACCAGTTGCTATAACTTCATGGTAAAAGACAACAGCCTGAAGCTTTCATTGAATGCTACTTCATTGGCATTATGGCACCACAAGCAAAACAAAACAAATTTGTAATGAGATTGAAGATTCCAATGCTAAAACAGTTGAGGAAACAGCTTCAAGCAGCTTGAACATCTGGATTAGGGGTACTTTCTTCGGTTTTCTTTATTTGATCAAGACTTCCCTCTGGTTTCTTCAAATTTGCAATGTACTTCCAGCACCTCTTATGTACGCCACTTATTTTCTTGGGAGCGTCAGCAATTGGTAAACCTGAACACAGAGACTGGTTTAGTTACTTGCAGAAGACAAACATTGAAAATGGTAAGTAAAGAGGAATGGTTTTTCAAGTTCATACAAAGATATGAAAACACTTGACGTGATAGTAAAACAACCTAAAGAAAAATGGTCACTAGGAAGTGCCGTTGTTGGATAAAATACTAGTCGGTCACAGAGTGGAATTTAAATAACCTTCCTTAGGACTAATATCCTCTTAATCCTTTGTTCCATTTTTTACTGCAACAGATGGATGCAAATGCACCATTGTGAAGGAAATCTTGCAGATGTCAATACATGTAAAAATGATGCCTGTACTCCTTTTACTAGAATACAGTAAAAAATGATTCCTCATCCACTTCCAAAAAGCTCTTCAATATTTATGTATTTATTTTTTAATGAACCCGCATCAAATTCAAAAATCATGATAAAAATGATTCCTGTACTCCTTTTACTAGTTGGAATCGAGTAGATTATTTGTTAAATATAGGTAAAGCATCATCCTATCAAGACAAAAGGCTAATACAAAAACTGTTGTGCGTCATATAAGCTGAATGTCCACTCACTCTTTAAAATCACTAGTTAGCAATCCAATAGAACACCACTAACTACTAGATTGGAAGATAAAGGAAAAAGAATAAACAAATCCAGTTCTGGGATATAAAAGGCTTAAAAGTGATGACTACTATGATGCTACAACTTATCCATGCACAACAAGAAAGAATTTCAAGTGTGCTGATAAACAGCAGTAGCAATTTCCAATCACATAGCAAAAAATATAACCAGCCAAGATGATCCTTTGAGAGAGACAATTATTGGCAGAAGCATTTTCAAACAGAAACATACTAACATATACAGTAAACTTATCTAACTTATGTATGCTTATTACCAGCTTACACAAACAGAGAGAAATGTGGTAACTAAACCCAGAGAAAAAATATGGATGTTTGTGTTGAAGTTTGCAGATCATCATAAAAAAATACACCTCAAATCCCATATCTGTTGGGGTCGGCTATATTAGTCATCTATATCCATTCTACTCAACTTCACTCAATTTCATTTAAATACAAAATAATTTGTCTTTTTCAAGGCAAATAAATCTCCGACTTACCCCTACATTGAAAAGTTGTGTAATCCCAATTAGTTGGTATATATGTAGTTTGCAAAGTTTTATATTGGTTTACAAAGTGGTGTTCAGACAAGCTTGTGCACCTCAACTATTCCACTAGGTAACTGTCACTTCCCCAGGCATAGGCACCAGAAAGTTTGCCTAGTATATTTTGTCTCTGCGTGGATTTGACCCTAGTCTCCCATGTTTTTCACTCACTTCATTGACCTCTAGGAAACACCCAAGAGTATAGTCCAAAAGGCATCAATTTTTTACATAAACTTGATCCAAGTTATTAAAATTTGGCAGGAAACTTGAATGAAAGCCCAATTTTCACGAGTATGAGCTACAAACTTTGTTACTTGCACCACATAGCATTAGAACCAATCTGGACTGAAGTTCAGAGCGCAAAAATCTAACCTACAATGCACAGTAAGTTAAGAACAAGTTTCAGTTTTGGTAACATCACATCCAATTGAGGTAAAGCACCTTGTTCTATTTATCTGGTTAAGGCTCAGCTACAAATCTTGATAATTATACATGGTTGGCAAATTCATCAGTTCTAATCATCAAAGAACAATAAATAAAAAAATCACCATTTTATGAAGAGAGATGGAAATTCATGGAATATTCTTCTAGGAGGCATTGCCGTGATTAGAACTTGCTGGAGTTATTGATCAAACTCCAGAAAGTAACAATTCATATGCAAGAGAAATAAATTGTGCTGGGGAGAACATGAAAAGGGGAAGTTCACAATAAAAGAATGCTATGAAAGACAAATCAAGAGCAACAGAATAATTATGACAGGCCACGGGAATTCATATGGAAGACTAAGATCCCTGTAAAGCTTGCTTAGTTTAGCTGGTTAGAACTCCAGCGAGCATGTCCAGCATAAGATAATCTCAGAACAAGAGGAGATTGTTTTTGCATACTACTTTTAATTATGCAGGAATCAGGCCGAAGTTGAAAATCGCGTTCTCATGTTTGAGACAAAAAATGTATGGAAAAAGTTCCTGTCTCTTTTTGGAGTGTACTAGGTGATGCCTAATCCCTATAGTCCTGAATACGCTTATGCTAATTTGGAACACCAGAGAGTTGAGAAATCGATCAGAAAGATGTATCATATGGTCTCTTCATGCATTATTTGGATCATTTAAAGAGAGTGGAACCGAATGTTTTAATGGGATTCCAACACCCCTTCACAAACTTTGGAATCTAGGAGTTTGATGAACCTTACTTATCCGACATAAGCTGTCTAATGTAAATAATCTAGACCAATTTAGGATTCTCTCAGCTCCTTGAATTTTATTTGGAAATAAAGCCAATGTAGAGTAGCTAACTCCTATTTTCTAACCTTTACTGCATTCATCAAATGCTCAAAAAATAGAATCATTTACACTAGAAAAGGAAAAAGAAAGAAACACTCACCATCTCTATAAGCAAGTCCCCAAGCCTTACCGTGTCTACCATCCTGCAAAAACAAAACGATCCGCAAAATGAAAAAATCTGTATATACACATAAACCCTAGAAAATGAACGCCAATGCATACTCTACCTATTACATCCCCAGAAAAAGAGAAATACCTTATAAAGATTGATTTTTGTGATTTCATAGGAGACATTGGCCCAATGAGTCTTGGCCATGTGATAACCGAGACCCCAATTGGGTAGAAACTGAGCCACCTCAAAAAGATTCTTCTTCTTCTTCCTTTTGGGCTTCTTAGGTCCATCAGCAGACGATTCGGTAGAAGGATCCTTAGTTGGTGTTGCAGTGCTCAGATTTCTGAGGAAACTGAAAGATGCCCTGAAGAAATTCGTGGACTGATTCACTGTAGCTGCTCTGTTTACGAGAGCATTAGCCATTTTTTCAGGTAAATTTTTCCGAAACTATATTACTTTCTCTCTTGTTCAAATGGGTTTTTATGCTCAGCCGAAGGAGGAAGGTGAAACTGCAATTTCTTTGTTCACCCTTGCGGCGGAGCTCTTCGAAGCCTCGCTTTTACTTTTTGTTTTTTCTTTTCTTTATTTCTTTAGGTGGTAAAAATGACAGGGGAAAGGCAAGAAAATGAGAAATTTTTTTTTTTGTAAACTTTGAGTTAATTTCTCACACAATCTTTTAAATAATTACTATAATACATTTTATTTATAATATAGGAATATTTTCTCTTTCTAACAATAGTTGTCAGACTTGATAGTTGGTACACTCCTTAAAATATATTCTCTATCTCACTAATTATTTTTCCATTTTTTTTAGTTGTCTTTAATTATTTATCCATTTTAACAAATAAAAAAAGGACAAAATATTTTTACTTATTATGCCCTCAATTAATTATTTTGAGAAAGGTAGAACTTCTTAAAAATCTTAAGTTTTTAATTCATCAACTTCATAATTAATAGGGGTAAAATAGTCAACTCGTTATGTCAATTATTGTTTTCTTAATTGGTATGTCAATTCAAAAGTAGACAAGTAATAAGGGACATAGAAAATAATAAATAATAAGGGTAATATTACTATATTATTATTTGACTTTATTAAATTTAATGTTTTAAAAATGTGTTAGATGATAAATACTAATACTTAATAGCAAGGGCAAAATAAAAAAATAAATTATCTCTTGCTTTTCTAAATTAGACAATTTCTGTTAGATAATTATTTTTTATATAGTTGACAACTGTTATTGAACGAAGGGAATATTAATTTTCTCACAATTCAGACACTAGGTAGAAGCATAAACTGAAACATTTTAAGGCTACAAAAATAGTTATTAAATCGTTAGCATCGCATAAAAGTCACTCAACCTCGACTAGATGATTTTAGACATAAGCATCTAAGCACACTGATGTAAGACACGTGTAGCTCTTTGAATAAGACACACCGTCACGTCACAGCTCCTTCTTTACTTTTAATGTTAGTGTTAACTTAATTATTACTATGTCAATTAAACACGTGGCCCTGCTCGTATGTCACTTGGATTACTATTATTATGCAATTTGATTAAATTTAAAATTTTTATTAGTGTCACATAATTGAAATAGATGGAGTAACATATCTTTTTTAAAAATAACGTACAAATATTATAAATCATACTTATGTACTAAAAATATATAAAAGACATCAAAATTTGATAACTCTCGAAATTCTATCGATGCCATATAAATTGAGATAGAAGAAGTAACATATATTATTTAAAAATAATATTAAAAGTACTATGAATTATAATAATTAATAACTTAAAATATTTATAAATCATAAAAAAAATTGATTGACTTTCGAAATTTTATTTATATCACATAAATTGAGACAATATAAATACTCTCTATGTCCAACAATAGTTGTCCACGATTGACTTGACACACTCCTTAAGAAACAATAAATAATAAGGGTAATATTATTATACTATCCTTTGACTTTATTAAATTTAATACTTTGAGAAATGTGTTAGATGATAAATTGTATTAAATGGTAATGGTAAAATAGACACAAAAGGTAAATTATCTCTTAATTTTCTAAATTAAACAAGAATTATTGGACAATTATTTTTAATATAGTAGACAACTATTATTAGACGGAGGAAGTAACATATATTGGGCACAGACTCCATTATCTAGTATACTTAGGGGTCGTTTAGTGTGATGGATAAAGGGAGTTAATCCCGGGATAAATTTTGAGCACCCTTTAATCCTTTGTTTGGTTGCACATCATGGGATAACTTATCCCAGGATTAATAATTAGTCCTGAGATAAGTTATCCCTATCTTTGGGTGGAATAGTAATATCGGGATAACTTATCCCAGTATAAGATAGATAAAATGACAAAAGTGTCCCTTTAAACTCTTTTTATATCCATGTAAAATCATATATTATTTTAAATATCATGTATAATAATAGTTATGACCTTCACTACTCCTTATTTTTATTATAATAATTCTTCATATTTTTTAAAAAAAATACACTACTTAAATATAATTTTATTTATGAATTTATTTCACTAATTCTTGTGTTTATTTATATTTTAATTTAATTTCCTTACTATCGAATTACATATTTTTAATTGTATATTCTTTTAGCCACTTGAAAATTTATATTTTATATATCAATTAAAATGAGAGATAAAACGAAATGCTATGGTACTGAATATAAGCTTCCCGTGCAATTTTCTATTAAATTAGTTTATATTGGTATTCTTTTTAGCTAGATCTTTTGTATTTGTTTTTTTTTATTCTTCTTTTTCATCTCATGTACGCTAATTTCAGGAGAATTCTATTGTTAGTTCACATAAATTTTGAAGGAAATAGTAACATGTAAGATGATTTAAAAATGAAGATAACTTTAGTATTTTACAATTTAAGAATGATACGTGTTTAAATGAAGTAACATAAATAATAAATTTGTACTTTTAAACGAATTTAGATGAAAATTTTATTCTTAAATACATTTGGTACAATTACCTCACTTTTAGTTCATAATTTAATTATTATTTATTAACTATTGTCATTTCCCAATATATTTTTTAAAATATTTATTTTTATCTAGATATATCACTTTTAGTTCATAATTTAATTATTATTTATTAACTATTGTCATTTCCCAATATATTTTTTAAAATATTTAATTTATTAAGTAAAATTGTAATTCTATTTATTTATTTTTTAAGAATTAAGAAGTCTGACAAATCAATACTAAATAAGTAAAAATAAACCAAAGGAGCACTATCATTAGTACTAGAAGAGTGAGTAAAGATTTGGATATCAACATGTGTGCTTAGTGTAATTATCTAATTTTTTTATGAAGTTTGTCTTTTCATTAAGTGCTGCTTTAGGTCCTTAATCCTTTCATATTTTTACAAATAATCTCCCTTTAGTTCTAATTTCTGTGGCACCTCTTGAATTTGGAGAGTTAATTTTAAATAAATTTTGACATAAAATTTGTAATAACAATAATAGTAAAATTTACGTATATGAAAATTACGCAAAAAAAATATTACAAGTCATAATAATAAACCATTCTAAAATATTTAAAATGCATTTTGACTAACCGTTTAGAGTGTATTTTTTCATTTAAATAGTGCTTTTTATATATGTTTTGAATATCTATGTTTTAAATTTAAATATTAATTTATTTTAATCTGATTTTATTTCAAAAATTTATGACAAATATTTGAAATGAAGGGAGTAGTGAATTACCTCCTTATTTAAACTACATGACTATTTTTCGAAAACCATGTACATTAATTTATAAAAAGTCTATTGGACTTAATCATATTAATTTATAGTTAACCTGCTACCTTTATATTGTGATATACATACTCCAATCATATATAAAAAATATTATTAGTATAAGAGGCAATTACAAATAATTCAGGGCATCAAATTATGATAATAAGTTCATTTTTTAAAAAAATAAATTAATTAAATGTGGATAGAGATGGGGAATAAAAGAAACCTCTATTAGTGGAAGCAAATTGAACCCTTCATTTCAATTATAAAAGATAGTGATCAATCCGTTAACTTATACTCATCTATGCTATTAAATTAACATATAATACATTTTTTTTATGTAGGACCCGTTCTTGCACGGGTTTACCGTCGTCTAGTATAAAGAATAACTCAGTCAAATAGCTTTAGTGATTAATTTTGGTAAGTAACTTTTTTATAAGTGTGTAGCATTACACTAGATAGTAGATATTATAAGAATAATTAAATTGTCAACCACTACAAGAAATTTTCCTCCAAATTTTCATTTATAAGTGTGTAGCATTACACTAGATAGTAGATATTATAAGAATAATTAAATTATCTACTATAAGAATAATTAAATTTAAATGTGTAGGAAACTTATTTTCATACTAATCCTCAGAAAAATCCCATGTAATTCACACTTTTCTTATAGTAACACATATAAGTTTAAAAGAAATTTTTTAACTCATTTAAATTAGCGTGACTTAAGAAAAAGGTTAACTTTCTTTTGAACTTAACTTCTAGATAATAATTTTGACCAACAAAATTATGCTTTTTTTAATATTTAACGTAATATTATTGGGCCCATGCACAGACAAATCATATAATTACTTTGGCTATATTTTATTTTATATTATATATAAAAGCTGGTTGGAACACACTTTACATGCATATATAGGAATAGTAATAGGAATAATCAATTGATGATACGACAGTTGGCCCGCACTTCCCCCTTGGAGCCTTCTTTGACATCAAGTAAGCCCATTTTACGCATGGCTTGTTGGAAATCAAGGAAGAACATAGCTTGATTAAAGGCATAAGCATTGACAATGCCTCTAGTTCTAGGGTTGTTGTAAAGTGTTTGATCAGAGAAGAGGACACCAGTTTTCCTTTGTAAAGCATTATAGTAGTCATTGTCAAAAGTATCTTTTGTGGTGTCAAAGGCCTGCTCAGACTTGTCACTAGTGCATCTTTTTGATAGAGTTTTGGCGAATTGGGCATCCAAAGTTGGATCCACATCATGTGTTGAGTCAAAGTTACTCAATCTATGCTTGAATGATGAGCATCTTGCCACTCCTAGTGTATGTGCACCTATATATATTCATGACATAAATTAATAATCCTAATTGATATATTTTTGACAAATATATATATATATATATTTACCAGATAGAGCCACCATCTCTTGAGCAGTGAAGCCACGTTGGCCAAACAATCTGATAAGCTCTGAACTATTAAGTGTTGGGGGAGGTAGATTGATTGTGTCTTCTATTCTTGATCTTGTTCCATCCTTTCTTCCTTTTGGTATGTCATACACTGGACCTCCAGCCTATCATATGTATAACAAATTAGTTTAAGAGATTATTCATATATATATATATATATATATAGAGAGAGAGAGAGATGAATATATATCTTACAAAGAAGACAGCATCCCTTGCAGCCATGGCAAGAATATCAGCACAAGAGACGACTCCAGGGCATTGGATTTCGAGTTGTTCTTTGACTTCATCAATGATTTCATAGCCTCTCAAGCTTAAATTTGCTGGAGAATCCTTTTCTGCTGTGTTATCCTTTGTTGAA